CCGTTTCCCAACCCATCTCCCGCCGGCGGGAAAGGTACGGCCATTCCGGTGCCCGGAGCAATGTAACCATAGTTTGGGTGAGGTGGGTAAGGTAGGATTGGACCGGTAGGCAAAGTGAGATCGAAGTTTAATCCGTTCGGTATGCAGGATGGATGTGTTGGGTTGGGGTGAATTCTTCTGTCCGCCGTCGACATCCTTGAGCCCATGATCGTGATTATCGGCTCGTCAGTTCTAACTCCATGGGGGTTCTCCGCCTTGGAGAGGTTGATGTGTTTGGAAACGGCGGCATCTGATGAAAAAAGATTGTCGTTCAGGTCGAAGTGTTTGTGAGGTGGTTGTTTGCGCGATGATGACGATGCTGGAGAAGAGGTTTGGCCACTGCTTACGAAATAAGGCTTTACGAGCAGTGAGTGAGATGGTGTTGCTTGATCTTCTCCATTATTGTTAAGGTCGAGTTTTATCCTCTCCGGCTTCAGCGAACTGACTTCGGACGATGAGTTCCACGAAGGTATACCAGAAGAAACAGGTACTGCGATAGTGTCCAATGGTAAATAATTCCCAGAGTCTGTAACATTTAAATCAAATTCTATCAAATTTGGTTTATATTTTGAGCCTGATTCGGACTTTTCACCATCAGAAGTTCTTCGAGGAGATGCGGGGCGGAAAGCACTCGTAGCAGCGGAACCTCTCCAACCCAATCCGCCTTCTAAACATAGCGGAGTGATCAGAAACGAAGGAGCTCCTTTGGAAGCAGAAACAGCTATTGGTGCAGACAAGTTCATTAGAATACTTGGGTTAATAGGATCTACTGCACAATCAATATCTTCAGTACAGGCATCCTCATTTAAATCAAAATCAAATTTTCTCATTTCAGTTCTAGCTCTAGAATCCTGAATAACAGCTGCTTCATTTTGAAATTCTGGGCTTTGGTCCTGTTTTGAAGGATCTGTAGCTGTTTCTACAACCATGCGATCATCATTCTTAGGAGGAGAAGTGACATCACAATCATCTTTAATAGGACTTGCATTGTTGATAACCTCATTTGAGCTGGACTCAGAAGAAGAGCTACATAACTCCTCTCTGTAATCAACAACCTCTCGTTCAACTTCAATTGCTACTAGACGAGCAATTTCCAATGCATCCATCTCTCCCGATTCAGCTTCTGAATCAGAACTTTTCTCCATTTCTCGAATTACCTGATCATTTGAAGTTTTAGAAGGTTCCTCGTAGATAAATGTATCGACTCCTTCACATGTCCTCGAAGGGTCCTCATTACAGGGGTCGCTATCGCCACTATTTTCTGCATCACCACTATTTTCTGTAGCTTCTCTTTTCCAGGAGCTTGAATCATGTTCGCCTGATTTGACACCCATTGTCTTTAAATATTCGGTCCACACCCCATCCACACTAGCACACCTATGAATGACCTCCTTACCATCTGATCGATCCAGATTTCCTTTGTTGAGTGTTAGTGTGCACGATGCGCTTCGAACAACTTTAGGATTCGCTCTAACCTCCCATGAGTCACTTTTTCGCTCGTTCACCTCTGCCATCACATCATCCCGAACTGAAATGTTGCACGGATCATCATCTTTGACATGAATCTTAGGAGATGAAGTTGTAGGGGGAAATGCTATTTCTGATTTAGGAATAAAATTTCCTTCTTCAACAGCATAATTCTCTTGGCCGGCATCAGATACATCATTTTTGGCAGAAGCAATCACTGGCAAGGTTTGGTTCGTTGTTGAATATTTTCGATCATCAACATCCCCTAACTGAAAATCATTGTCGCTCATTACTGACAGGTTTTGTATTAGACTGGAATCTACTTCATGACTTTCCTCGTCAGTTGTTTGACGAGAAGATTTGTCAACAACTTCATCGACGGCGTGTTTGAACTCGACGGAGGGTGTACAACTATCAACATGACATGAACCATTTTTCTCCATTTCTTGGCATTCGTTATCATTATTCCACTTATCAAACAACATTCGCGCTCTTTCATTTATATTTGCATTTTTGTGGCCCAAAAGCTTCTCCACCGTTGCAAATATTCCGGATGAACTCAACTTTTCAGGGTTTGTAGGGAGCTTCTCGAGTGATTCTATTAAAGTGTTAATCAATTCCTCGCCGTCAACAATATCTATGCTGCATTTAACAGCTTCCTGCAGCCAATGATTTAGAAAGCCTAACCCATTTAAATGAACAAAGAGAGAAAGGCATTCCCTACTTTTCGTGCAAGCGAGGGTGCTGGCAACAGTAGACCATTGCCTCGCCGCGTCTCCTACATTATTCGTAACACAATTCCATTTTTGCATCACGCATATAAGCTCTTCGACTCTTCCACAAGTTGTGAGACCATTTTTCATTTCGGTGAGGGTGAAGAAATCTTCCAAGGTCATATTTGCAAAACACAGGATAATAAACTCTTGCACCTATGTCATGCTTGCAATATAGGTGTGCCGTCTCTATCTGTTCCAGGGAAGTGCAGCTTAAAGAGCTGTAATGAAGTAAATATAGCAATTTTCTGCAATGTGCAACAGAATTGACCATCCAATCAATCATATTTATCAAACTAACAATAATAAAAAGAAGCAATGTAACAAAAGAATGAAGATTTAAAATAAATAGCAATATAAATGAAGATGCAATTAAACATCACAAAGCATTCTCTGCAGAAAAAGAAAAATAAATCGTGATGATTATACAAAATAATGACATTCTAACATTTCCTTCACTACTAAAAAAAAAGTTCTTTTCTTTGTTTAAAATATCGCTCAACAGATTCTGAAAGACACACAATTGGATAGAGCTAGAGCCAACCATTGGCCCACAGGGATGACCATAATGGGCTTAATTGGACTCTATTAACGGGCATGCGTGACTCATTCATTTAAAAGGGCTTCAATAACTAGCCAACAAATTTAAGCCAGCACTTCGAATTAAAAAAACTAGCTAAGTTCATACATTCAAATTAATAATAGCATAAATAAAAAAGACAATATTTCAAATTGATGAATCTCAAAATATGAGAAACATGATAAAAAAATATTTAAAGCTATATGCTTAGTTGCTAATTTGAGAGGACTGTAATGATCGGATGCCGAAATTAGATTTAGAAGATAGTAACGTTAAACATAGCATGCAATAAATGTTTAAATAAATTTAAAGAGAAAAAGTAGAAAATAAAATAACATGACGATGAATATATTACAGAATAACAAGATATGATCGATTGATTATAAAAATTAAACCAAAATAGTCAGATAAAGGATAAGAATTAATCAAGTTAAATTCAAGCTTTTAAATGCGTATAAACACAATACCATCTAGGGGTGTAAACGAGTAGAGTCTAGCTCGAGCAACCCTTGGCTTAAGCTTGAGCTTAATTAATTTAATCGAGTTCGAGCACGAGTCACCCTCAGCTTGAGCTTGAGCTTGAGCTTAATTAACTTAATCGAGTTTGAGCTCGAGCTTAATTCGACGAATTCGAGCCGGCTTGTTTAGCATGGAAGAGAAAAAAAATATTAATTTAAGCTACAGTTATAATTAAATAACAAATAGAATAACCATTTATAAGATAACTAATAAAAAATTATTTGATATAAAAAAATTAATTTTAAACATTTTTAATCATTTAAATAAACTTTTTGGAATTTTAATATATTTTTTATTAACCATTTTTTAAACAAACCGGCTCACTAGTGATATTTCAGGAGAGTCAAAAGCCTAATTGACCTCCCGTATAAGTAAAATTCGAGGCCTACCCCTGCTCACTTACGCCCCTAATACTGTCATCACCTCACTCGTTGATTTCAAGTAAGACCATATAAATGAATAAATAAATAAATATCCAATTATTGCATGAACTGTTCAAAAATCAAAAGCTACACAAATTATAAGAAAAAAAAAACATAAAAAATTTGAAAATCAAGGAGTTTACACAACGGAAAATCTGTCACCATAACATTCCTTGGTTTTGCCATAAAATCTGCTACAATAATTAATATGAAGAGCTATGGCGTTTTTCATTGCTAGAAGCAATGAAGGCGGTACTGCATATTTCAACTTTGTCCTAATGGCATCAGCAATGATGGTTTACCACAACTATGAGGAGACGGTAAAATTCGATGAATCAGAGAACACATTTGGCCTGAAGGTGATAAAAAAGGGTTTTCAGATGTGGCTTTCTATTCAGCGAGGAGGATGAAACCCCATAGTTTAGCGAAGAAACTTTGATCCCTTACAGGGATCTATAGAGAGAGATCAAATAATTGGTAAGTCTAAGTAGTGCCCTGTGTTAGATATCAGTTAAAATGATGTTCTCCCATAGCTAAAAAGGGCAGAAGTTTTTGGAACATCCTCAGAATTTGAAGTTTAACCAAATCGACTAGAATGCTAAAGCCATCCTCAGCTTGAGCATGATTAATTTTATCAAGTTCGAAGCTCGGGCTAGCTCACAAGAAGGCTTATTTATTATAAGAAAGATAAAATAATATTAATTTAAAGTAGAGTTATAATAAAATGATAAATAGAATGAGCAATTAAGAGAGAAATAATAAGAAATCACTTACTATAAAATAAAAAATATTATCTTTTAAATATTTTTAATACTTTAAAGATAAATTCTTCAAATTTAATATATTTTAATTATATTTTACATTAATATTTTTTTAAACGGCTCGATCACGAGCTAATCAGTCGAGTCAAGGCTAGCTTAAGCTTGGTTTAATAGCTCATTGAGCTCAGTTCACGAGCCACTTATCAAGTTGAGCTCGAGCCGGCTCATGAGTTGACTTGACTCATGCACCTATTCAGATTCCTCTAGGTTTGCCACAATAAGCTTTAATATACATGTATTACATCCCCTTATTGTTTTTTTTTTTGGGTTGGCCAAACCTGAATAATATTTGACTTATTTAAAATCAAGCCACAACACTATCAAACCAGCACATTTGGCGGTCCTGATTAATGATATACTGAAACAGAAATTAAACAACAAAAATAGCTTTAAGAACCATCTTTATCACCCAGCCCGATCACTCGTAACATAAACTTCAAACATCCATTATCAGGACCGGGAGTTTTTCTTCTCTAACCAAATTATTTCAAAATGGGGAATAAGTTTATATTTACATGTATCCCAAGCAATTCTTATTTACATATTCAACATCTAGACAATTATATTTACATGCAAACCACTCAAGGCTTTAACATTATATCAAAAATACTACCATCACTGTCTTTTTCAAAGTGAAATACACCTTTCCATGCAATAAGTTTATGGTACCACAGTGTTACAAGTAAAAACCAAACTTTGGGTGTTAGATATGTAAATATAAGAATTGTGAAGTGTGTGTAAATTCCCCTATTTTAATCATGTGCATCATAAATTTCAATCATCCATTATATTTTAAAAGATTATCTTCATACATCTCTTCGTAAAATCTACAAAGAAACATAATCATCATTGTCAACAATGATTTTCACTCTTAATTAAATTACAGTCACAAATCAAAAAAAGATGAACTTAGAAGTGCATAAATTTATAAATGAGTATATTAGCCTTACTAACAAGAACCAAAGCATTGGATAGCTCATGCATTTCCTCATCACTGCAACAGTAACATCAGACCATCATCATCGCCTTCATCATTTTTGTTCACTTCCCGCGCCAAAAGATCTACCTTAACTTAAAGACAACAATGATTGACCTTAAAGGAAACAAACTACAACCACACCAGCAACAAAGCTATAGCTTGACATATACTAGAATGCCCATATAGAAGCTCTACCAATCTATACAAATTTTTTTTAAAAAAAACGAATTTGAACAACTAATGATTCATGAGGTTAAATTAAACTGAATCGAGAAAATCAAATTAGAACCAACATGGTCCTTGTGTAGGTAAAGCTAGTTGGATCAATGTGGTAGCAACAGACCCAAGGAAGTTAGTTTAAAAAGGATTTAAATAACTATATTGCCAGAACTCAAGCAAAATAAGGAGATATCTAGTAACGAATTTAAGTGCTTTAGTAAAACAAGTAAATCCGGATTCACTAAACCTTGCCGACAACAGATTTACTAATCATGAATTTAAGACAAAACTGAGAAGAAAACTAAGAAGAAACCAAATTTATGGAATTCAAGATTTAAAAGTGTCATTTTTGTTCCAGCAAAACTAAAGTTAAATCCCACTCAAGTCTATTACCAAACAGCCTCTAAATGCCATTTACAAAACACTTATAAAGCAGATTAGAAATCAATACAATCTTCTTATTCCATAAGATGCCTTATGATTGTTTTCATAATTTCAGGAACAACCCCCTAAAAGTTTACAAAACTTTTCTGTTAATCTGGAATTTCTAGAATAAACTAACCAGGTCGTAATTCTCGCAAAATGAAACCACATAAGGTTTAGAGGGCCTCAGTTTATTTAAGAATCATCCCAAACCACCCGATGAAACTCAACAATCAGTAATTTTGCAAGAGAAACAACCTCTAAATCCTAATAAGCATACACCAATAGCAATAGACATTGTTAGATGTAAAACAGGGCTCCTTTATTCTTGCACTGATTAACTTCAAAAGATATATCAAGCTCAAAAGTGCATCATTTGAACATCGAATGAATGATCAAATACTATTTTTTGTTAAATTTCAATTTGAATGGTACCACAACAACTCTTTGCTTCATATTCTACCATAGAACTTAAATTTCATGCCCTCTAAATGTTTATCAATATCAGTTGAGTTTGGTTAAACAGATTGTCCTGCTCCCAATACTGCGCTTTGCACGTGGAAAGCTTAAACAATAAGCCAGCAAAAATTTTAAATTCTTCTATATCCGAATTATCCTTATAATCACCTCTTGAATTCTTACCTATTTGTTTCTCTGTATCTCTGTAATTAGTTTATCTCTGTCTCCATTTGCTAAACAATCTGACCTAAATTTTCAAAAAGTAGGTAATGAGTACCGCAAGTACTAAATTTATCGTAGGAATAATTCAGAAAAATGGAGCAATCTGATTAACTCCTAATTCCTAATCAGAATAAAAAACAGATTAATTAACTAACTTTTCAGAGTTCCATATCATTCAAGGAAATTGTGCCAAAAAAACCCTAAAGAAGTAAAACCATCACAAATAACAACCCCACTCTATTTCCTTATACAAACAGAAAATAACAAAAACAAATAAATGCAAACACCGATGCTATTATCCTCCATTGAGCTACTAATCATCACCAATACCAATTATGCGTCAGATTATTTTAGCTAAATCCTCCGCTTTTAGCAACCAAAATAGTTAATGAAGGAAGAAAGAAAAAAAATAAAAATCAGTGCTGACCAAAGAATCCCGCATCGCACATCAACCATGAATCATAATAACAAAAAACATA